TTTACTGTATGGCAGTGGTAAAAGCCAAGTAAAAGGACACTGCTTATGCCTTCCCAGAGACTACAGAAAACTGTTCGGAGTTTGGGACGAGACCTGTTAAAAAATATATGCCCTTGAGCACATGTTCTCTCTCTTTGTGTCTCTCTTTGTTTTTCTGTCTGTCTCTCTGTCTCTCCTCTCCCTTCCTCCTCCTCCTTCCTGCTCTTTCCCTTTCCTACTGCCTCCAAAAGGTGAAGATCACAGTTTACCCAGTGTGAGCACCATGAACTGAACTAGTGAGAAGGGAAAGACTTCCTTCTTTTTTTCTTTTACCCCACCTCTGAAAAATCAGCCTGGGGTGATTTTTGTTTTGTTGTGGTTTGTTTTTGTTTTTTTCTGTTGTGCTGTTTATCCTTCTCAGTCTCAGGTGCCAGCAGTAGACCTGGAAATTGGAGTTGCAACCAGCCCTGCAGGATAGAGTCCAAACTAGTTTTTGGACTTGGAACTGGAATGGCTCTATAGGAAATGAGCTAAGCTATAAGAGAAGAGAGTGATGATGCCTGTGTTGGGGATAAGTTTGTATATTTTTACCTTTTGAAGTAAATATTCCTTTGTAAAAACTAATCTGTTAGTGGCTAAGTGGAATTATGATGCAGGGGACCACGCTCTACACTTGGGGTAGCATCATCAGCAGGGGATGGAGCCACTGGCAGAGGGCCTAGTCCTCTTAAGGGTACCAGAAAACCCTGGAGGAGAGATGGAATCTAACACACCTGGCCTTCAGGCAGTGGGAGGCAAGTTTCCCCATGTTACATGAGTATCCCATATCCTACTTCCTTACCTTTGTACAGGCTGCTCCATACCTGAAATTCACTTATTCACCTCCAAAGGACTAAGAAGCTTTAGTCTGTTTAGTCAATAAGCATTTATTTAGCACTTACTATAGGCCAGGCACTTTGCTAAGGCCTGGGGATACAAAAAAAAAAAAAAGGCAGAAACAGTCTCTGCCCTCAAAAAGCCCACAGTCTACCAGGGGAGAAACCATGTAAATAGCTAAATTATATATATAAAAGACATTTTGTTGTTGTTGTTGCCAAGTTGTTTTCAGTCAGGTCTGACTCTTTGTGACCACATTTGGGGTTTTCTTGGCAAAAATACTACATGAGTTTGCCATTCCCTTTTCCAGCACATTTTTCAGATGAGAAAACTGAGGCAAACAAGGTTAAGTGACTTGTCCAGGGTCACACAGCTAGGATGTGTCTGAGGCCAGATTTGAACTCAGAAAAATTAGTCTTCCTGACTCCAGGCTCAGAACTCTATCCACTTCACCACCTAGCTGCCCCATACAAGAGGCATAGAATAAACAGAAAGTAATCTCAGAGTAAGAGTCAATAAACATTTATTAAGTGCCTACTATGTGTCAGGCACTATGCTAAGTGCTGGGGATGCAAAGAAAGGTATAAAACAGTCCCTGCCTTCAAGGAGTTCACAATCTAATGAGAGAAGACAACATATAAAAAAAAGATGAAAAGGAGAAAGGCTATAGTGAAGTACCGCAGTCATGGTGGAAAATGATCCTTGGAAGCATTAGTTACAGAACTGGTTTCATTTTGCTGAATGATGAGTTTCTGGAAATCACAAAGTCCAGAAGAGCAACTGGGTGGGAAATGACCAGATGAATGCCCTCAAAGCCCTCCTTAAATAGTGGAGGACCTGGGAGGAGGTCTTCAGTGTCTACTGTCTGCCCTCACCAACCAGAAGGAAGGTGGCAGGGATCCCAGGGGCAGGTGGTAGTACCAAAGAGGGGTAGCTTCAGAGTTGGCTTCATCTTGAAGAATAATGAGTTTCTAGAGATCATGAAGTCCAGGAGAGCAACCAAGTGGGAAAAGAAATTTAGGGGAAAGTCTCCTGAAGGTGGGATTTGAGTTAAGTCTTGAAAGAAACCAGTAAAACCAAGAGGTAGAGGTAAAGAAGTGGAGCATTCCAGGCATGATGAACTAGGACCAGAGATGGAGTGGGGGTGGGGAAAGAACAGCAAATGGAGAGTAAGTGTGAGATGAATAGAAAAGTAGGAAGGGAGCAGGTAATGAAGAACTTTAAGTGCTAAACAGAGGAGTTTGTATTTGGTTTTGGAGGTAATAAGGAGCTGTTGGATTTTACTGAGGAGTGGGATGACAAGGGCAGATCTATACTTTAGGAAGATGACTTTGGCAGATGAGTGAAAGATGGAGAGAGATGAGGCAAGGAAACCAGTTAGAAGGCCATTGCAATACACTACTTGATATGATTAGACCTGACCTAGGGTGGCTGTGTGAGTGAACAGAAGGGTAATGCATGAGAGATGTAAAGGTAGAAATGACAAGATCGGGCAATGGATTGGATATGTGAGGTGACAGGAGTCAAAGATGACACCAAGTCAGGTGACTGTGAGGATGGCAGTACCCTTGACAATAATAGGGAAGTTCAGAAGAGGGGAGGATTTGGAGGTAAAGAAAATGAGTTCTCTTTAAAAATATGTTGAATTTGAGATGTCTCCTAGAACATCTTGAAATGTTCAAAAGGTGATTGGTACCCAGGAGACTAGGATTGGATATATATGGGAATCATCTGCACAGAAATGAGAATTGAACCCCATGGGAGAAGGCAGCCCAGGACAAAGCTTTGGGGGACCTTCATAGTTAGTGGGCATGATATGCATAAAGAACCAGCAAAGGAAGCCTGACTGAAGAGAGCTCAAACGGGTAGGAGGAGAGAATATCTAGGAGATGATGGTGTGAAATGCTATAGAAAGTTCAGGAAGGCAGAAGACTGAGAAAAGGCCACTACACATACATAGTACTGCAGAAAAAACACTGCAACTGAAGTCAGAGAACCTGAGTTCAAATCCTGCCTATCATATGTTACTGGTATGGCTTCAGTTAAATAATTCCACCTTTCTGTGTCTCAGTTTGTGAGGGGGTTTGGACCAGATAACCTTTAAATTCCCCTTCATTTGTATGACTATGATTCTGATACTCCATCTCACTGAATCTGTTTCCTAATCTATAAAATGGGGATGCATCTTCTGCACAAGTCATCTCTATGTCTTGAAGGCACTCATTACTTATAATCACCTCAGACTTCAAGAGTTGAGGCACCTACTCCCTGAAAACGCTTCATCCCCCATCTGTTATTAATGTCCCCTCTCTCCTCAAATTAGCTTGTATTTATAGATGTATCCCCTCTCTGAGGCCATTTTCTCAAACATAAAAGAACAGCAATTAGACTATCACTAAGCCCCTTCCATCTCTAACATTCAGTTGACTATGACTTTTCTTTGTATATCTAACTACTCCTTTCTTACTAGCCTCCAAATGTTGGCTCACCCAAATTTCAGCCTTGGGCCCTCTATTCTCCACCCTCTAAATTCACTTATTCAAGGCCCACTCATAGGATTTCAATTAATACCAGACAGAAAATGCTTATTGAATAGGGAGAAATTTGACTTATATCTCCAGCCCTAACTCCTCATTCTCTCCAGATTAGAATACTCAAAGGCCCAAAGAATATTTACTATTTGGATATGACCCAACATATGAGATTTCAGATGTTCTCCAATACATAACTCATTCCAACTTTGCCCATCACCAGTAATGACACTAACATCTTTAATCAGAGAGAATAAAAGATTCTTCTGGATTAAGCCTATAGGGACCAAGTCAGGTTATTTTTATGCAATCCATGCCATTTTCTAAAGGACAGCAAGCTTTTAATTAGTAAGGGGAATTCTCTGACTGGGACCCCTGATTGTAAGTTCCATGGGGGCAGGGACTTCTTTCTTTTTATTTATTATATTCCCAGCTCTTAGCACAGTGCCTGGAACATAGTAGGTGCTTAATAAATGTTTACTGGATATTAGTTATTGGAACCCTCACATTGTAGTTATGGGAGAAGCTATTATTGAAAGCTTTCAGCACAACCATCATTTTAATCATTTAATAAATAAGCACTATTCTTCATTGCCTATCCAGATGGTGGATCAACAGAATTAAGAAAAACTTAATCAGTACTCTCAAAAAGCTTAGAAAGGTCTGTGACCCAAAATACATTCTCTGAGATCCAAAACCCAATACATTCACAAATTAACTGTTACCAGTTCTCTTATGTTAATGAAAATACCAGGGGAAAAAAAAGGCTTTCTCACATTCATATAGTCTCTCTCTAGTATGAAAGTTCTGATATTGTATAAATATGAAGTTATCATTAAAAGCTTGCCCACAATTATTACTTTTGTTTGACTTCTCCCTAGTTTGAATTACTGGATATTCATTAAAGGCTATGCTTCTCTTAAGAGCTTTCCTATCATGGTGTTTAAGCAGCTTCACTCTGATGTGAACACTGATCTCAATTAAGAACTGAAGGGTAACTGAATGCTTTTCACATTTATAACATTTAAAAGGATTTTTTAGTATGTTTTCTGTAATGTTTGATAAAGAAAATATTTTCTCTCTAGTAGAGATTATTTGATCTAGAATAAGGACTGAATAGCAACTGATGGATTTTCTACATTCACAAAATTTCTCTCCTAAATGAATTATCTGATGCATCTAAAACTAGTCTAATGTAAGTAAATGTAGCTTTCCCACATTCATTATATTAAAAAACAAACAAAAACAACTGGCCGATATGATGTCTACAATATTCAAGGAGTGGCTTTTTGTTGAAGACTATTCTACATTTATTACATTTATAAGACTTTTTTTTCCAATATGTCCTCTGCTGCCAAATAAAATCTACACACTAACTGAAGATTATCACACTTTAATTTCACTTAAATTGTTTCTTGTCTATGTGACTTCACTAATATTTACAGGCTCTGACTAAAGGGGGAAAGAGAAGGAAATAAACATTTATACAGAACCTTCTCTATGCCAGGCACTGTGCTAAGTGCTTTTAAATATTATTTCATTTAATCTTCACATAAAGGCTCTCTCATATTCATTACACTTATTGGGTTTTCAACCAGAATGAATTTTTTCATGTCAAATTAGATATGAATTCTGACTGAAGGTTTTACCACATTTATTACATTCATAAGGTTTCTCTCCAGTATGAAGCCTCTGATGTTTTAAGAAATCTGAACTTCGATTAAAAGCTTTCTGACACTCATTACATTCATATGGCTTCTCCCCAGTATGAGTTCTCTGATGTTGGATTAGGTGAGAGCTCCGACTAAAGGTCTTCCCACACTCATTACATACATATGGTTTTTCCCCAGTATGAATTCTCAGATGTTCCTTAAGGACTGACTGTCTACTGAAAGCTTTTCCACATTCATTACATTCATATGGTTTTTCTCCAGTGTGAGCTCTCTGATGACGAATGAGGAGGGAATGGCGACTGAAGGCTTTTTTACATTCACTACATTCATAGGGTTTTTCTCCACTATGAATAATCATGTGCTGACTAAAACCTTTAATGTAACTGAAGGCTTTCCCACATTCACTACATTTAAAAGGTTTTTCCCCAGTATGAATTTTCTTATGTTCAGTAAGATGTGAGCTTTGACTGAAAGCTTTGCCACATTCCTTACATTCATAGGGTTTCTCACCAGTATGAACTCTCTGGTGCTGAATAAAACTTGAAGACTGAGTGAAGGCTTTCCCACAGTCATTACACTTATAAGGTTTCACTCCAATGTGCACTCTCTCATGTCGAATGCAGTATGATTTCCGACGGAAAGTTTTCCCACATTTGTTACAAACATGAGGTTTCTCTCCAGTATGAACTATCTCATGTAGAATAAGATCCGAGTTCTCACTGAAGGCTTTCCCACATTCATTACATTCAAAGGGTTTCTTTCCAGTATGTATCTTCTGATGTCGTGTAAGATGTGAGCCATGACTGAAGGCTCTACCACACTGATTACATTCATAAGGTTTTTCTCCATTATGAATTCTCTGATGTTTTGTTACATCTGAGCTTCGACTAAAGGCTTTCCCACAGTCATCACATTCATAGGGCTTTTCTCCAGTATGAATTCTCTGATGCTGAATAAGGGCTGAATGACGTACAAAATTCTGACCACAAGTATCACACTTGTAGCTTCTTTCTTTTTTATGAATTCTTTGATTTGTAACATGGTTTGAGCTACAACTGACCAGTCTTCCAAATTCATTAAGTTCCTGGCCTTTCTCTCCTTCAGTTGTTTTCTGTTGTAAGACAAGGATTCGTTTGGAAATGGATTTACTCTGTCTCTTTCCCCTGACGTTTCTAATCTGCTCCTCTAAATTGCTTTCCTTTTCATAGCCTTCTCCAAAGTCCAAGACCTGGGAAGTATCCCATGGGTATTTCACTGATGCATTTTTATATATTTTTCTCCCTTTAGGAACTTCCTGTCTTAGAGACAACTTTTCCTTGTATTTTTTCTTATAACCTGAAACAAAGCAAAAGTGCAAATATTGTGTCTTGTTCTTTTGGGGAGAAAGTAAACTCCTATAGAATAGAGATATTGAATTGACATGAATGGAGAACAAGAAAATGGCTTTTAAAATGAGATGATGGGGAGAAGGAAATAACAGAGAAGAAATAATAAGATGGCAACATTGGTGGCAGAAATGTCTGGGAGAGACAGAATAACCTGTCAAATAAATGGGTTGTTTCACCAGTGATGCCAAAAAATCTGAATAAGAGATAGGGTGAAATAGATATGGAATAAATGAACCTGAAGGCCACAGATGGACAAAGAATGAAAATAATGGAGAGTGGCAAGGTAAAAGAGATGAGATTTAAGGGAATTTGAGAAAAGAAGTCTGTGGGTCAAGGAGGATGAGTGCTGACAGCATAGATTGGAATACCTGAACTTGGGAGATAACTGGGAGTAAGAACTGTAATTGGGCAAAAAACAACTCCTCAAAAATGGGGAAAGGGAAGGAGTTCCCCTGTTTCTGCAGGTACAACATATGAATGCTTATTAGCAGCCAGCAAAAGTCATAGCCAACCCAGAAAAGCAAAAGACCTGACTGGTTGCTAAAGCAGCTGAGAAATGATCAGTGAGCGTGGTTTCTCATTGCTCCAGGGCAGAACTGAAGGTGCTCACAGGAGCACAATAGCAGAGGAGGAACAACTTCCAAAATGTGAAGAGGATACACCCTCCACAACTAAATCCTCACTCCAGAAGACAGAATCAGCTCGATTAATAAAAGCCAACAGCATTTGAGACTGGACAGTCATTACAATAGGAAAGCTTTGTGAATTCTGAATTCTCCACCCACAATAGTTTGGAAATCCCATTTCTTTTTACCTGATGTATGAGTTCGTGTTCCTCTCCTAAGGTTTGCCCTGATGGTTTTGAAACCAAAAAGGGACATCCTATCTATGTGCCCCCTGGACACTGAGGAATTCTTGGGAGGTTGTGTGTTAGTTTTAACTTTGCTAATACAGCTGTGGAGTCAGAATGAGTAAGAAGGCAACCAGGAATGGTGTTTGGTGCCCAACTGTGCTAATCAGGCTCCAGCCTGAAAGTCTGCCTCTGAGGTTTCTGAGCAGAATTACAGTATGAAACACTAAAGAGAAATCCTCTCCGATATTTCAAATTGTGCACCTTACTACAAAACATGTGCTCTTATTTCTGTCTTTTGCCAAGTTCTTCTCAACTCACCTCCATAAGCTCCCTTCCTACTTGACAGCTCCCTTTCCTCAGGCTTCTCAATATCCAGCACCCAGGATTCTTCCCCTCGTTCCAGCTGAGAGATAACATCAGGCTTGGAGCCTAGAAATCCTTTTCATGAGGGAGAAAATGGAATGTGGTCAATTAAAATTCATGCTAGGAAATCAGTTCTCTCTTAGAGGTGTCTCCAATGTCCTAAGTCAGCATGTAGTAGATGGGAAGAGTTAAAAAAAAGCCCCAGATATACCAAAGAGATCCAAGACAGGAGTAAAGGTTCTATATGTACAAAAACATTTGCGGCAACTCTTTCTGTTCCACTAAAGAACTATAAACAAACTTATTTCCATAGTTGAGAATGGCTGACCAAATAATGAAATGTGAATGTAATGAAACATTATTGCACAATGAAGAAATGATAAAAGGTTTCAAAGAAACTGAGGAAGACCTGTAGAAGCTGATGCAGAGTGAAGTGAGAAGAACCAGAAGAACAATTTATACAATGACTACGATACTATAAAGGAAAACAACTTTAAAGGACTTAAGAACTCTGATCAATGACATGACCAATCATGATTCCAGATATTAGATTTTGAATCATGCTTCCCATCACTTGGCAGAGATGTGAAAGATTGGAAGTACAGAATGAGATGTACATTTTCATATACAACCAATGTGTGAATTTCTTTTGCTTGATTTATTTGTTACAAGGAAAAGTTTTAATGGGGGAGAGGAGAATAAGGGTGGAGTAGAGGAGCAGTGATAGTGATAGAAAAAGAAAAATGCATCAATGAAACATTTAAAAAATATACAGAAGAGAACAGAAGGATGTTCAGAATGGGACATAGACAAGCAGGGCAGTGTTGACACTACCATGTTAAATTTAACATATACTTTAGCAGACACTGATGGTTTCATATGCAATCCTCTTTTTCTGTTCTTTGTTTATGGAAATGTTCATGGTTTTTTATGTTGGTCAAGTTCATGATAATAAAAAAGAAAAAAAAACACAAGGTCAAAAGATGCCCCAGCTAATAGGATAGAAAAGTGTGGCAAGATCCAGTAATCCCTGACGGGGGTTCCTGAATGTATTCCTAGAAGGAAGATAGTTCAGGAAGTATTACCAACTAGCTCTTTCTTACCCAGTGAGATAAAGTTTCCATAATTCTCCAGCATCACATCCCTGTATAGGTCTCGCTGAGCAGGTTCAAGAAGACCCCATTCGTCACGTGTGAGATACACAGCCACATCTTCAAAGGTTGCCAGCTCCTAGAACAACACATTATTGCTGCTTCAGAGATAAACTCAGCATGGAAGCGAGGTGTAATGGAAAGAGCACTAGGATTTGGAGTCAGAGGGCCCAGGTCTGCTGCTTATAACTTGGCGTGCCTTTAGAGAAGTCACTTCGCCTCAGTGGGCCTCAGTTTCCTAGATGATTGCAGAGATCCCTTCCCTCTCTAAATCCATAATTCTAGTAGGAATGATTGAATACAGTTCCTATTTGTAGAAGATTTTCATTACTTAACTTCTAACAAAAAGAGGTGGCTGAAAATACACATTAAGTGACTAGATAAATCTCCAACTAGCAAGGGATCTGTCACCACTTGTGGTGTCAACCTGTATTAATAACTAGCCAGCAGTTTTGCTTAACTGCTTTTTCTCCCCCTGCCCCCCTTCATTTTTATTCTTTGTTACAAAGGATGGCTGTCTGGAGAGGTGAGGGAGAAGAGGTATATTTGTAAATGAAGGTGATATAAAAACAAAAGATAATAATAAAATTTTTAAAACTAATTAGGACTGTTTATCTTCAACCATCTCATTGCAAGCATAGACTATTGGTTTCTGATAATCCTGAGACATAATTAGCGAATGGGCAGCTAGGGCAAAGAAAACAAGCTTTATAGGATATAGAGAAGGGAAGAATAGCTGTGTGTTCTATACTTAGGCACCAATGATATCAGGTCAGGAAGTCCTTGTGCATAAAGTGAATTGCTAAGCAGGAGAATGAAGGGCAGGACCCTAAGGATGGTATTATCTGTTTCATGTGACTTATCCCAGAGACACGCAGAGCTCTGGGGTGGAGGAAAGTTCAATATTCATCAAGAGTGGAGAATCTCTAGGTCTGTAACCTATTTCCCAAAGGAAATCCCTGGGCTGCTGGCATAAAAACCCAAGATGGTTACATGGTTTTTAACCTAAAAATCAAAGGAGAGCTCCTAAGTACAGCGGCACAGGCTGATCTCTGTAGAAGATAGAGGGGCCTCCAATGATCTGTTGAGAAGAAATGTGCAGGAAAATATAAGAATAAGAAGTCACACTATGTATCAGGGTACAAAACCTTTTTTCGCACACAATGCCTAATTTGATCTACAGGACAACTCAGAGAGGTAACAAGTAGAGATATGATTAATGACATTTTACAGATCTTCAGAGTGGGAAAGTGATTCTGTGACTTGCCTAAATGCATACAACAACACAAACACCTTCAAAGAATCAGAGAACCGCAGAGCAAGGCAAGACTTCAGAATTCACCTGACCAAATCTGGAGCTGAACCAGAATCCTCATTACAGCTTACTAGATAAGTGGTCATCCAACCTTTACTTGAAGACCTCAAGTTGGAGGGGACCCATTACCTCCTAGTCAGCCCACTCCACTTTTCAAGGGATCTGATTGTTAGATAAATGTTCCTTACACACAGCTAAAATCTGCTTCTGTGCAACTTCCACTGATTATTTTTGCATTAAAAAAATCAACTTTGGAATCAAGATGTTTATGTTGCCACTTACTAAAATGCACTTCCTAAAACATGGCACCTAAAATTGAATCTATTATACCTAGGTAGGCCCTTTGGTGCCCAACAAAACAGGTCTATTATTTCTTCCACATAATGGGCCTTGAAGTACTTTAAGATAATTATTATTTTCCCTATATAACTTTTCTTCATGTTTAATATTCCCAGTTCCGTAAATTATTTCTCATAAGGCATAAACTTGTGGATTAGACTGTGATGTTCAGAACTGAATACAATATTCCAGGTATAGTCTGACCAGGGCAGAGTACAAGACCTTATTCCTGGACACTAAGCTTTCCTTAATGTAGTCAGAAATTAAATTAATGTTCTTGGCTTCTATATTACACTGTTGACTCACATTGATTTTGAAGCCCACTGAAACTCTAAGATTTGCTGACTAGCCATCTTGAATTGTGAAGTTGAGTTTTTAAACCCAAGTATAAAACTTGAAATTTATTGCTATTAAATTTTATGTTGATTTGTTCAAAGTTCCAGCTCATCAAGATCTTTTTGAACCCTGATACCATTCAGTATATGAGCTAATCCTCCAGCTTTGTGTCATTTGCAAATTTTAGAGGCATACAATCTATAGTGTTCTATCTAAGTCATTGATACACAGCAAGGTGCCAGACACAGATCCAGAAACACTTTACTACAGACTTCCTTCCAAGCTGACATTGAACTGTTAGTCGGACTACTCCACATTTAAATCCTGCCTCAGATACTTAGTAGGCAAGTGATTTAACCATTCTCAGACTCAGTTTCCTAATCTGTACAATAATACTTGATGACCTCTATGATCCCTTCCAGCTCTAAATCTATGATCCTCTGGGTCATTCAATCAGACCCTATCTACCTAATCCTGCAATTTTCTAGCCCATTTCTCTCCATTTTTTCAACAAGAGTATGAGAAGCTTTATCAAATGTTTTGTGAAGATGTAAGTAAACTATGTCTACAGCGTTTCCCCAATCTAACAAATTAGCATTTCTGTGGGGAAAAGCCTCCAAATAGCTAGAATTTAGCATTTATGTCATGTTTTAAGGTTTGCAAAACACTCTACAAGTTATCTCATCTGATCCTCACAACAACTTGAGAGATAGGTGTTACTGTTATGTCCACTTTACAGAAGAGGAAGCTGAGGTAGAAAGAGATTAAGTAATTTTTCCCAGGGTCACACAGATATTAAATGGGGGTAATATTCAAACTCAGATCTTCCTGACTCAGTGTTGTATCCACTGTGCCATTCAGCTGCCAAGTCCACAGCTCTTTCCATAATACCCTGATGCTTACCTGGAATCCACCCACCTCACTGCTAGATAGATTAATTTCTTCTGATTACCCAATTGGTTTTTATTTTTACTTCAGCTATTAAACAGCATTTCTCCAGTGATTGGTTGTTTAGTGATTTAGCTGACCAAACATCAGAATCTGTTCAATTCCACCTTTTAAGAGAGACATTAACAAATTCAAATGAGTCCATGGGAAGGATTTGATCAGGATGATGACAGGTCTGCTAGCATATAAATTATATTTGCAGTTAAGAGACCTGAGTATATTTAGTTTGGAGAAGAGAAGAATTAGGAGGGATGGACTAGATATCTTTGGAAGGCAAAATTAGAATCGATAAGTGGAAATTATGGTGAGACAAATGCCAGCTTTCCATAAGAAAAAAAAAATTCTTATCAGTACAGCAGTCCAAAAATGGAAGTGGTTCTAAGAGTCACTGGAGATACTATAGACAAGGTTAGGTAATCATTTATCAAGAATGTAGCAGAAAGTATTCCTGTGGGAGGGTGGCCTAGATGACCTCTAAGGCTTTTTGCCACTTTAAATTTTATAATATGAATCTTTCTCTACAAGAAGATTCAAATACAGTTTAGGCAAACACTTAACAATTAAGTCATATAATTTGCATGTGAGATTTTGTTTTAGGAGAATAACTCATCAGATGCAGAGATTACACATTATAGACTGACGAAAATAAGGAAGAAGGGAAAACAGTTATAGAATTGTATACAGAGGAAAGAATAATCATTAAGTGTAAATATTTCACTAAAAGAAAAGTACTCAATAGCATCTCTGTGGACAGAAATTCCATACATGAATAATAAAAATGGAATAATTGGGAAACTAGCAAAGACATCTTACATAGAAAATGAGATTATGCTAGAAATATTAAATGTGATTGAGGAAGTAAAAAGTATGAACCAATGAGGCATTTACTTTATCAGCACAGCCTGAAGGAATGCCTCATCGGGATAAGGTATTGAGGAAAGTTTTCTGAATAGGCCAAAATCTTTTGATCATGAAGTTTTAGAATCATAAAGGAGTTGCTCAGCCGCAACTGGTAGGGAAGAGACTTTTCCGCTACTGACCAAGAGTCCAACAATATGGAGTTTAATATAATGACAGGAGTGGGAAAACACAGTAGGCCAGGGGATGATAATTAGCACCTACTTCAAAGCAATGCTATGAAGATAAAATGAGATAATACATATAAAGCACTGTATAACCCTTAAGGTGCTATAGATATGATAGTTATTATTCAGTCCTGTCTCTGTTACTAACTCCTGAGCAGTTTTGAATATGTCATCTCTCTAGGTTGCAGTTTTCTCATTTGTAAATGACTTGGCTTTTTTTGTTCTGTTTTGTCTTTTTTGGCTATGCAATGGGGTTAAGTGACTTGCCCAAGGTCACAGCTAGTAAGTGCCAAGTGTCTGAGGACAGATTTGAACTCAGGTCCTCCTGTGTCCAAGGCCCGTGCTTATCCACTGCACCACCTAGCTGCCCCCTTTTCTGTTTTTTATTTTGTTCTGTTTTTTTTTCATTTGTAAATAATTTGGAGGTGGAACCAGATACCCTCTAAGGCCCGTTTCTGGTTCTACAATCCTAGGAATCTAAACCAAAAGAAAATCCATCTTTGTTACTGAATTCTAGGAAATGGCTATAAAACAAAGTTTATCCAGGAGTTCAGAAAAACAAGTAATTCACATTATTAAAAGCCCTCCAAAATATATGTCAGCAAATAAAATGCTCAGATAGCATTTTGAGAGTTTTATTTCCATCATAGTAAGAGAGTCTTACTTAAGTCACCTGCCAGTTGCTCAAGTTTTCTTTTTGTTTTTGATTAGTGTTATCACTAATCTGGAAAATTTTGAAAGATTAGAGATGGGATTGAAAGCTGAAAGGAGGAAAATACTGTCTTAATTTTAAAAAAAGAGAAAATAACTGGATTCTGAGATCTATGAATTTATTAGTTTAACATTAATCACTGGCAGAACTCTAAGATAGATTATTAAACTAATGGCTTATAAAAACTTGAATAAGGGATGATCACTAACACTATCATGGGTTTACTAAAAAATCTGAATGAGATATCTTGTGGTTTAGTGAAATATATGTTAATAAGGGTATCCAGGTGAAAGCTAGATGTCTGAGTTGTCAGGGATTTTATAGAAGGCCTGGAGTAGAAGACCTCCCAATTTTAAAATATTCTGAGGGAGCTTAGATACAAAGGGGTGAGTACCATGTTGAACATCATGGAAGTGGATGAAGTCCAAGAGGTGTTCCAGATGAAGAGGAGCCAATGGAAGGTAGAGCAGTCACTGACTTCTGAGCTGCCTCCACAGATCTTGTCACACCATGAAGATTCCTGTCTTTATGCACGGATGGGGACCTAAGGATAATTAAAATCATAGTAAGTTGAAAATAGGTTAGGAAAGACATTATCATTCAGTCAGTGCTTCAGAGTAGAGAATTATCTACAAGGGTTAAAGAGAGATAGGCATTTCCTCCTGGAACGCAGAAAATAATAGGGAAAGGTAGATATTGACCAACAACTAATGAAATTAGCCACAGTAGCCTCTGAAATGAATTTTCTTCTTTATGAGATGTGTCAAGAAGCTTTGTTTTTTAATCGTTATAGAAATAAATGATTCCCACCTTTCCTATAATTGTCACTTTTCCTAGTCATGACAAACAGTCCTTATACTATATAAATGTAGGTATGTATTATTGTAAATGATCTGTTCCCTCTTGTACATGATAACAGGCAATTGAGTCCAATCTATTCTTGAAACCTCCTGGACTAACTGCCCTTAGACGAGGATCTCATCATACTATGCTCTAATCAAAACTGTTCATCAAAGGTGCTTAGTCTAGCTTTCAAAGCCTTTCTGGAATTCATTCATTTATAACACACCATGCTAGAGGCAAATGACAAAGGAAAGAATGGAAGAGAGGAAGGGAGGGAGGATGGGAGGGAGGAAGGGAGAGAGGGAGAGAGGGTCCCCAACAGCCAGAAGCGTCCATTCTTCTAGAGCTCTAGCTCTACCCAAACCCGACCGTGAGCAGTTCCTCTTTTAAGCTCTCTCCGTTCTGAAACCCCATCCCAATCATCTTGAAAGCCAAGCTCAGACAAGAGCTCCTCCATGCCACGCTCCCTCCATCACCCTGGCCTCACCAGGCCTTTGGTCTGCACCTCTCTCAAGCACTTTTCGTGAAGTGAGCTTTAGCCGGGAGGGTTCTAAGCTTCTGACAATGACATTGAGAATGATATTGACACTGACAGTCTCAATGGCCCTGCGACCCCCCCATCTCGCAAATGGGGAAACTGAGGCCTAGGGAGGGGGAGGGACTAACCCCTACGTCATACGGGGAGTCAGTCATCAGCAGGAGGCCCTAGCCCAGGATTCACCTAAATACCCCAGCTGAGGAGAAAGAGGCTTCCAGCCTTAGAGAAAGAGAGGTGGGGCCAGGAGAAGGGGCGGGGCTGTCCGAGCACACACACACCCGGCCACGCCCCCACCGGAAGTCGTGTCCTGTAAGCGCCGGGAGTTGGGCCGGGAGAGAGACTCCCGTCCTCCTCGGCCCGCGCGGAGCAGGATCCCGCACGCGGAGCCCAGGCCGTTTAGGGGCCAGAGACCCCTCCGGCCTCACACAATATCCCGACTCCTCAGACCGGGCCTCAGCCAGGAAGTATTCCCCCTCTTCCGCCCCGCCCCCGTCTCACTTCCGGCGACGCTCTGGGATGCACGGAGGACTCGGCGCCTCGGTAACCCGTCTAGCGGTCTGAAGGGCACTGGGAGCGAACCGACCTCACAAAGTAGGAAAATTCAGTGGGAGTGGGGGGACCAGGGCGACTGAGGGGGCTGGAGGGAGGAAGGGGAGGGGGAGGAGGGGAGAGCCAAGAGAGGAGTGGAGAGAGAAGAAGGAAGAGAGGAGAGAGAAAAGGGGGAGAGGAAAGAGAAAGGGAAGAGAGGAGAGGAAAGAAATAGGGGAAAGAGAAAAAGAGGAGCGAGAAAGAGCGGAAAGAAGAGAAGAGAGAAAATGGGGAGGGAGAGGTAGGAAAAAGGAGGGAGAAGAAAGGAGGGATGGAGGAAGACTAGGGAAAGGGAAGGGAGAATGGGGGGGAACGGGGAGGGAAGGGAGCAGCATAAGAGGGGAAGGGGACGAGAGGCATCGAGAACGAGAATCTGCTGGAAAAAACCTGCGGCCTCTCTGCCCACGTTTCTTGGCTTGCCTCAACGATCATTTCACCATTCAAAAATTGGAGGACCCAAGGAGGAAAACATATTCTGGACCTTATTCTGAGCAAAAGAGAAAATAGTTTGCTGGGGTAGACATGGTGGGCACTTCAGGGAGGCAGTGACATTTCCATCTTAGAATTTATCAGAGAAGACAAATTGGAACATAATCTGATGGATGCTCTAGATTAGAGAAAGCAGATATCAAAGGGTTTCAGAGAAAGGATAGGTAGGATTCCATGAACTAAAATTCTATGAAGTCACCCCCAGGAGCAATGAAAAGCTCTCAAGAATGAAATTCTGAAGACACAAAGAAAAAAAAAAGGTTCTGATAAACAGGAAGTGGGGAAGGTGTGAAATCTCAACCCCACCCCACCCCCACTACTGAGCTATATTCTGGGAAAGGGCACCAAAATAACCACTTCTCCTTCTTTCCAAGGAAGATCAGGAGGACACACATGATGCCGGCACAAGGTTTTGGGCGAAGATATATGAAGGCCTTTTTGAAAGGTTTCTTTGTTGCTGTGCCCGTAACAGTAACTTTCTTAGATCAAGTAGCCTGTGTAGCGAGAGTGGAAGGAGCTTCGATGCAGCCTTCTTTGAATCCTGGGGGAAGCCATTCATCTGATGTGGTGCTTTTGAACCACTGGAAAGTTAGGAATTATGAAGTGCAGCGTGGTGATATCGTGTCATTGGTATCTCCCAAAAACCCGGAGCAGAAGATCATCAAAAGAGTGATTGCTCTTGAAGGAGACATTATCAAAACAATGGGGCATAAGAATAGGTACGTGAAAGTCCCACGTGGCCACATGTGGGTGGAAGGTGATCATCATGGACACAGCTTCGACAGTAACGCTTTTGGGCCAGTTTCCCTTGGGCTTCTGCACGCCCATGCCACCCATATTCTGTGGCCTCCCGAACGCTGGCAGCGTTTGGAATCCATTCTCCCACCAGAGCGTGCACCGGTTCAGATTGAAGAGAAGTGACCTCCTTTGCATCTGCATGGCCTCTTTGACTTAGGAAGACAATATTTTAAAAATGGAAGGCAGGGAAAAAGAAACCTAAAAGGTAGATGCATTGGTTGAGGCTGCAAAAGGAGTATTTGTATATCCTATGGTTTCACACTGAAGAAAAAGATTTTCTTTTAGATGAAACAATTGTATGGTATACAGTATTTTGTCTGAAGTACTTGTACTACAGAATAAATGTCCTGACAGTACAGTACCAAAAAAGAAATTTACAACGTGATTATTTCATTGGCCTTTCCATGTGTCATGGTAAGATCGAATTGTTGGTATACTTGTTTCTTAATCTGTCGACTGTTGATTTTTTAAAATTTGGGTTTCAGCTTATGAAAGATCCTGAATTAATGTTAAGCTTAATGAAAACATGTTCATCTAGTAAGTAATTCATGCATGATACAGCTTGAATATGAAGAAATAGTGACACAGATGCAGTGTGATTTTAATTGTCAGCATTCACTCATTAAAAAATGAATAGTGAACTTTGACAAATAATGATTCACTTTTTTAAAAGGAAAAAATGAGGTCAGCCCTAAAAAGACATGTTGATGTACAGGGAACTCGCCAACAAAAATGTTTTTAAAAATCTTGAGCACTGTGTTGGAAGGGGGAAAGATATATTTGCAAATAAAGGTGATATAAAAAAAGGTATTTAAATGAGATTTTAAAAAAATGAAGAAATATACACAAGAAGGAAGCAATGGGCAATGGAACATGAATGCAAAAGCTTGGTACAGTTGTGTGAATAGACTCAGTAGTAGTAAAACTTAGAATGGCCTGAAGGTCAAGTCAGAGACACTGGCAGTGTCTAAGACCTCATCCTTCACTGCAACTTCTGTGATGACAGGGACAAGCCAAAACTGTGCAGAAGCAGGGACACAGGGCCTTAGGATGACCTGGATAGACATGATTATCTGCAATCCAGAATCAGCTAAATAAACTAAGATGACTCCTGCTTTTGTCCCTGGTGGGAGAGGGGGATGGAGACATGTGGAGTGTTTTCTCTCTCCATATTCTTTTATACCTGAAAGGACGGGAAAGCCTTTTCCTTCTTCCCATTTCTTTATATGCCTTGGGTGTCAGTGCTTGGAGACCAAAGATCCAGGTGGGAAATGAACCCAAAGGAAGAGATAGCAATGACTGTCATCACTTGATCAGAGGATAATAGATACATTTTCTTTTTAGTTTTTATTCTGTGTACATTAAAGATGAAATGACGTACCAGATCTAAAACTATTATAAAGCAGCAATCATCAAAACTACTTGGTACTGGCTAAGAAATAGCGTGGTGGATCAGTGGAATAGGTTAGGTACGTGACACAGTAGTCAATGTCTATACTAATCAACTGTTTGATAAACCCAAAGACTCCAACTTCTGGGATAAGAACTCACTGTCTGACAAAAACTGCGGGGAAAACTGGAAAATAGTATGGCAGAAACTAGACATAGACCAACATCTTATACCCTATACCAAGATAAAGTCAAAATGGGCACATGATTTAGATATAAAGGCTGATAGTATAAGCAAACTAGGAGAGCAAGGAATAGTTTACCTGTCAGATCTATGGAGGAGGGAAGAATTTATGACCAAACAAGATAGAGAACATGATGAAATGCAAAACGGATGATTTTGATTACATTAAATTGAAAAGTTTTTGCACAAACAAAGCCAATGCAACCAAGATTAGAAGGGAAGCAGAAAGATGGGAAACAATTTTTACAGCTAATATCTCTGAAAAGGTCTCATTTATAAAATATATAGAGAACTGAGTTAACTTTATAAGAATATAAGTGATTCTGCAATTGATAAATGGTCAAAGGATATGAACAGGCAGTTTTCAGAGGAAGAAATTAAAACTGTCTATAGTCATATGAAAAAATGCTCTAAATTACTATTGATTAGAGAAATGCAAATTAAAATCAACTCTGAGGTACCACATCATGCCTATCAGGTTGGGTAACATGACAAAACAGGAAAATGATAAATGTTGGAGAAGATGTGGGGAAAATTGGAACACTAATGCATTGTTAGTGGAGTTGTGAACTGATCCAACCATTCTGGAGAGCAATTTGGAACTATGCCCAAAGGGCTATAAAATCGTGCATACCCTTTGACCCATCAATAGTACTTCTAGGGCTGTATCCCAAAGAGATCATACAAATGGGAAAAGGACCCACGTTTACAAAAATATTTATAGCAACTCTTTCTGTGGTGGAATTGGAAATTAAGGGGATGCCCATCAATTGGGGAATGACTGAACAAATTGTGGTATATGAATGTAATGAAATACTATTGTTCCATAAGAAATGATAAATAAGCAGACTTCAGAAAAACCTGGAAAGATTTGTATGGTCTGATGCTGAGTGAAGTGAGCAGAACCAGGAGAGCGTTGTACACAGTAACAGCAACATTGTGCGTGACCAGCTTTGATAGACTTAGCTCTTCTCAGCAATGCAATGATCTAAGACAATTCCAAAACACTCATGATGGAAAATGCTATCCACATTCACAGAAAGAACTGTGGAGTCTGAATGCAGATTGAAGCATACTATTTTTTCTTTTTTTTTTTCTCATGGTTTTTCTCTTTTGTTCTGATTCTTTCGCAACATGCCTAACATGGAGATATGTTTAATATGATTGTACATATATAGCCTATATTAGATTGTATGCCATCTTAGGCAGGAAAGGGAGAGGTAAAAATTTAGAACTCAAAATCTTATAAAAGTGAATGTTGAAAATGAAAAATAAATAAATAATTAAAAAAAAATAAAGATGAAATGAACTCCTATTTTGTGTCTAAATCTATGGGTGCCAAAGGAAGATAACTGACAGTAAACTACTTAAAAGGTTGGGAGGCTGGAACCAAAAGATAATAATGCCAATATTTTAATATTTTTTCAGGATTTTATCTCCTAGCCTATGACCTGGGAACAAGGAGAAAAATATTTTATAACTACAAGTACTACTGATGGTGGTTGGAAAAGTGAATCAGGCTTCGAGGCTTCCTGGGGTTTTGAGTACCCTCTCATATCCAGAAGGGAAACTGCAGTCTGCTAAAAGGTAGCTAGTCCTAAGTTGGAGCATGGATTGGTTTCTCCTTAGGACACATAGCGCCCTGCAAGGTTGAAAGGATTGTTAAGACATATAATTTTAATACTTGCTTTGATGGCCATGTTTGGATAAGTGTCTTAAGAAATTTTCTTTGTTCAGACAGTTATTCAAGGGTCCCCAGGCTGTTATGGCATTGAGCATTTGAAGGATAAAACAGTCTGTGAGGAAATCATTGGTCTTCTGACCTGACCATCAGGATTAAGGCACTGCCTCCATGAGAAACTAGGGAGGCATGTGGAGCTGAATCATACTTTCGTTATGTATCCTTGATAATTATGTACCTATCCCCTTTGATGATTTTGGTAAAGGTACAGTCAGCAGTATTATAGTCAGAGACTCATTCATGCTGAATCCTGAATCTGAAGCTCCTCAAAACTAATTCAGGACATTTAGGAAATTGTAAAGACTACCAGTTGAGATGACATCATGAAAAAGAAGCCCGGTTCTCCCACATAAATTCCATCAAATAGCTAAAAAGAAAAAAAATCCTCCCAAATACTAATGATGAAAAACCTGAAGAAGAAAAAAAAAGTAAGCTCCCTCATCTACTCGAGAAATGCACTAAAAGAAAGCCAGAGCTGGGTAGAAGAAGCAAGCTAGGAAAGTTGTAAAAGTGAATGTAGAAGCAGTAAAAGTGGGGAGAAGCTCCTGCTAGGGAAACCGGTCCAAATTCCAGTGTATGCTTTATAAAGCTCTGGAGATCCTCTTTTCAGCTCATGCTCATAGATGAGTCAGGATGCCTTTATATCTTCTCCTTACAATTCCAGGGGCAGGGTGATTCTTCTCTAATGCAATCATTTCAAGACCCCAGTCCATTATGTTCTCTCCACTATTAACCACCAATAATTAAAGCCCCAGTTTCATTTAACCAATTAACATTAATTAACTTTTACATAAGGTATTTACTGAGAAGACACAGGAAGAATAGAAGTACAAATTTTCCCCCAGCCTACCCCAGGCCCTGGACTCTACAAAGCACTTGCTCCACTAAGTTCACTTCCAGATGCTGCACAGCTGCTGGCTGAGTGTCTGTTTCAGCTATCACTGAGCTGGGTTAAGCAGGGATTTTGCCACTGTCTCCCCCATTCTCAGCTTCTGGTTAGCCCCAACATAGATTCCAGCTCCTTGAGTTCTGGAGCTTGTTATTCTGTCCTTTCAAAATTCACCAAGTGACAACCTTGTCCAATACTTCAGCTGAGGGCAGGAAAGAACAAATATAACAAGGTGAAGAACAGAAGCCATATTAGTGGCCATGCATGCCTGCAGCCATTCTGACAGGGCTAATCACAAATTAATGTTACTCAGCCTTAATTGGGTCCTCACTGCTGCTAGGCAATCTTTCTACACCTGCCTTATCAACTCATTATCCCACTCTCCACAGCAGCTCTTCCAAACCTTTTCAACCTCCAAACCTTCTACGGCTCTCCCTCACCCCCATCCCTCAGGTGAGAACCTTGCCTTATATTTTACAGAAAAAAAAAGAGGCTATTTACTATGAACTCCCTCTTTTCTCTTCATCTCAAATGCCTTCTGCCATTCTCTCCTCCTTCACCCCTGTCTCACATGAAGTGGCCTTGCTCCTTATCAAGACTAACCTCTCTACCTGTACTAGTGATTCCATTCTATTCCATCTCTTCTGAAAGATTCCTCCCTCTATCATCCCCACTATTACTTGTCTTCAACGTCTCCCTATTGGCTTTCTCTACTGGCTACAAATGTGCTCGTCTCTCCCATCAAAAAACCCTTCATTTGATCCTTTCATCCCCACTAACTTACTTAATCTCTTCTGCTTTTTGTGGCTAAACACCTTGAAAAGGCTGTCTACAGACCAGCCTCCACTTTCTCTCCTCTCACTCTCTTAAGCACTTACCTGGTTTCTGACCTCATTATTCCATGGAAATGCTCTTCACAAAATTACCAGTGATCTCTTAACTGACCAATCCTATGGCCTTTTCTCAATCCTATTCTTGATCTCTTTGCAACCTTTGATACTGTTGACCACTCTCTTCTCCTTGATACTCTCCTCTCTAGGTTCTTCAGACACCATTCTTTCCTAGCATTCCTTCTGTCTAACCACACCTCAGTCTCCTCTGCAGGATCCTCTTCCACATCATACTCTCTAACCATAGGTGTCTCATAGGGTTCTGTCCTGGGCCCACTTCTGTTCTTGCTCTACACAAATTCACTTGGTGATCCCATCAGGTCCCATGGATTTCTCTATGCTGATGATTTTCAAATCTACCTATTCTACCCCAACCTCTCCGCTGACCTCCAATCTCTCATCTCCAACTGCTTTTCAGACTTCTCAAACCGAATGTCCAGTAGACATCTTAAACTCAACATGTCCAAAAATGAATTCATTATCTTTCCTCCTCAATCCTGCCCCACTTTCTAACTTCCTTAGTACTGTCAAGGAGAACACCATCCTCTCAGTCCCTCAAACTTGCAACTTAGGTGTCTGTTACCATCCATATCCAGTCTCATCAAGGCCTGTCAACTTCAGCTTTGCAGCTTCTTTTGAGTATGCCCCCTTCCCTCCTCTGATATTGCCACCACCCTGTTGCAAGACCTCATCACCTTGGACTACTGCAGCAGCCTACTGGTGGGTTAGACTGCCACAAGTGTCTCCCTACTACAATCCGTCTTCCATTCAGCCACCAAAGTGGTTTTCCTAAGGAGCAGGTCTGACCATGCCACCTCCTACTCAATAAACGCCAGGGTCCAATACAAAATCCTGTTTGGAGTTCAAAGCCCTTTGTAACTAGCCCCCTCCTACCTTTCCAGGCTTCTTACATCTTACTCTCCCCACCATGCATTTTTCAATCTGGTGACACTGGTCTCCTTGCTATTCCCTGGGGAAAAAAAAATCATCTCTGGTCTCCAAGTATTTTCTCTTGCTGTCTTGGATACCTGGAATGCTCTCCTATCTCATCCTCACTCATTGGCTTCCCTGGCTTCCTTCAAGTACCAAACTGAAGTCGTATCAGGAAGCTGTTTCTAACCCCTCTTAGTTCTTGTGCCTTCCCTCTTCTAATTATTTCCTACTCAGCCTGTACATAACTTATTTGTATATATTTGTTTGCTTTTTATCTCTCCTATTAGATTGGAGCTCCTTGAGGACAGGAACTGTCTTTTGCCTCTTTTTGTATCCCCATTGCTTAGCGCAGTAGCTGGCAAATAG